TACAGAGGTGGGTGGATGAGAATAAAATGGAATTCAATGCAAACAAGTGCAAGGTGCTGCATCGAGGGAGAAGGAACCTGCAACACCTATAGGCTGGGGAACACGCTTCTCAACAGCACAGTGGTTGAAAGGGATCTTGGAGTCATTGTTGACTCCAGGATGGACATGAGCCACCAATGTGAGGAAGTGGTCAGTAAGGCTAACCGCACCTTGTCATGCATCTACAGATGCGTCACAAGCAGGTCCAGGGAGGTGATTCTTCCCCTCTATGCGGCGCTGGTCAGGCTGCAGTTGGAGTACTGCATCCAGTTCTGGGCACCACACTTCAAAAGGGATGTGGCTAGCATTGAGAGGGTCCACAGGAGGGCCACTTGCATCGTTAGGGAGCAGCAGGCCAGGCCCTATGACGATACACTAAAGGGCCTGAATCTATTCAGCCTCCACAAGAGAAGACTGAAAGGGGATCTGGTGGCCGTCTATAAACTCACCAGGGGAGACCAGAGGAACATAGGATGACAAGGAGTAATGGCCACAAATTGATTGAGAGCAGGTTCACGCTTGATATCAGGAGGCATTACTTTACAGTTAGGGGTGCCAGGCTCTGGAATGGGCTCCCAAGGGAGGTGGTGCTCTCCCCTACCTTGGGGGTCTTCAAGAGGAGTTTGGATAGATATCTGGCTGGGGTATTATGATCCCAGTACTCGTTCCTGCCCAGGGCAGGGGGTTGGACTTGATGATCTGTTCAGGCCCCTTCCGACCCTAGAAGCTATGAACTATAGAGCAAGCCATGGTCTTTACACTAACCTAGGCTCCCTGGCTCTCATAAGCTTGAGCATGGGGCTGTCTTATGCTGCACTCTGGGCCAAGCAGCACCAATTAACCTCCATTCCAGGGCCAACAGTGAGAGAACCAGTCAGAGCCAGGTGGGAATCCTGCCCAATAACAGGGCTGAATGACCAAGGACAGCATACCAGAGAGAGTGTTATCACACAGGGCAGGGCTCCACCTCAGCACACTGCATCCTCACAACACAGACAAGACTTTCAGCTTCCTCCATGTCAGTGTCAAAGGGTAATCCATCATCCATCAGCAGTAATTGGTTGAGCTGCCTACAGGCCACAACCCCTGCAAGGCAGATATCCTGGCCAGGGGCAGACTAGTCCCACCCCACCCAGCCCTGGGAATCATGGGGATGCACTGGCAAAGTCAGAAAACATGCCAGATGCACACAATGGCCCCATAGAAGCCCCAAGGGCCAAGGCCTGACTGACCAGCAGAAGGCACTAAAGACTGTAGGCAATGGGCTTAAGGAATGGCTGCCAACACCAGGGGGAAGAGAACCAAAAAGAGGTGGCAAGAGGACTGGTGATGTCCTGGCACAGCCTGGGGAAGGGAGATTGTTTGGGAAGGGAACAGAAGAGGGATGTGGACAACATGGAGAGGGTCCAGAGGAGGGCCACGTGCATGATCAGGGGGCAGCAGGGCAGGCCCTATGTGGACAGGCTACGGGACCTGAACCTGTTCAGCCTCCACAAGAGAAGGCTGAGGGGGGATCTAGTGGCCTGTTACAAGCTAGTCAGAGGGGACCAGCAGGCACTGGGGGTCCCTGTTCCCCCAGGCACTACCAGTAGTGACTAGAAATAATAATCACAAGCTGGCAGAGGGTAGCTTCAGACTGGACATCAGGAGACACTACATCAGTCAGGGCGGCTAGGATCTGGAACCAGCTTCCAAGAGAAGTGGTGCTGGCTCCTACCCTGGGGGTCTTTAAGACAAGGCTAGACAATCACCTTGCTGGGGTCGTTTGACCCCAGTACTGTTTCCTGCCATGGCAGGGGGTCGGACTTGATCTGTTCAGGTCTCTTCAGATCCTACTAACTATGAAACTATAAGATGGCAGTGAGGGAAGCCCCTCATCCTGGTTTCCATTGGTTCCTTCCCTGCCTAGATATTCCCTCTAAGTCAAGCCTTTGTGGGAAGACAAGGAACATCAGCTTCCTAAAGCAAGTTCCCAGCAGCCACAGGAAACCTCTAATGAGGGGCTGCTTAAACTCCAAGGCAATCACAGGCTTAGCTTCCAAATCAACTCCTAAATCACTGCCTTTGCTGAGTCTGCCCAATCCAGCTGCCCATACCTCAACATCTCTGTTATTTTTCCAAGAAGCTACATCACTCAGTTGCCAGCAAAACCCTGGTAAACCTAGAAGCAAAGAATCTGTGTGGGATCCAATTCCCATCCCCCACCCCAAAAACAGAGGGCGCCGACTCCAGCTGCGACAAGACCACTCAGCTGGGATGCATAACTCCCACGGCAGAAAGCATGCAGGGGGAAGGGGCAGCCACAGACTACAAGCAGGTAATGTGTACTGCCTTCACAACAAAACAGCTTCTCCCTTTGGCCTAGGTGAGATTCTCCAGGAACCCAAGAAAGACAAACTCTCTCTGCCCACGGAAATGGGAATGAGAAGCCCGTATAAGGAGAAGGCACCACACACCAAACTTCACCATGGAAAAAGCCAGAGCTTCAAGGCTGCCACAGCTTCCTTTTTAGTACTCAAGATCCAGTGGGTAATGCTATCCCTGTACCAATAGCATGGCAGAAAGAATTTTCCCTAGTGGCCTCCTCCCCAGGGCATGCCCTGAACAGCAAGTTCACAGTCTACTCTGATCTTTGAAGGAGCACCAGGGGTGTCAGACCCAGAGTGGCCCTAGTCCTAGCAACAACAATTCCCTGCAGGCAGGTACTGGGGTACTAGCTCCTGGGAGAACCCTAGGCTTGTCAAGCTCTTCTGTGTGCCCATCACCAGGGCTCCTGTGTCTCCTTTCTCTCCAGGGTTTGCAAACTGACTGACCCCAACCCTGTTCAACAGAGAAAAGAAGAAAATACCTGTGAGGCAGCAGGCTTGGCTCTTGGGTCAAAGATCCTTAGCTTCTTGTCCTGTGGAAAGAAGAGGGAAACAACTAAAGGTTTGTGCACTGCAAGCATCTCAGGTGCACTGGGATGAGGGATCGAGCACCAAGAGACAGACAGACAGGATGAGCACGAGCCCATGCGCCATACATCCCCCACCAATCGCATCACTTCTACTTCTTCCTGAAGAACAATGTCTTCTCCACCCCTTTGACAAATCCTACTGTACGTGAACAGCAGGGAGAGCAGGCTAGTCAGACCTTACCAGTGGGCTAGTCTTCACAGCCTACATGACTGCCTTGGTGCAGTGGCACAAAAGCCAGAGCTTCCAGAGATGCAACACGGAAAACCCAACCCAGGAATCTGGAGCAACACAGGCTCTTTGTAACTCTTTATCCCAGTCATTTCCTCCCCCGAGGACAGGCTCTGCAGGCACCTCCAAGGGGCTCCAGTCCTGTTGCTTTCTACTAGCTAGGAGGTGCTGGCTCCTGCTACCTACTCTACAGAGGAGCAGCCAGCCCTCCAGCCCCTGCAGTGCTCCAGACGTGGCCAGTGAGGACAGGGTACTTAGAACCTAGCACCCAGAGTCACCATGGCCTGTCTTACTGACCATATGTGGCTAGATGGGGACAGGTTCCTCTTAAATGACCTAAGCATTTGGAGACAAAATGCATAGGTGCTTTGGACCCTGAGTTACATCTGGATTCAGGGTCTCCAAGGCAAGAGCGGAGCCTTGGGGACCTGGGCTCCTCCCCAACCAACAGAGGAGCAAGCCTTTTGCCACAGCTCCCAAAGGGCCAAGCAAGGGGCATGTCCACCAGACAAGAACAGCAACACACACAGCTCCCTGGACCAGGCTCAAGTCTTCCCACAGTCACCAGCTTGGTCTTTCAGTGACCAAAACTTCCTCCTCTGCACTTTGCTTTATATTTAACAAGCTTCCTTCACCGCACTGGTGGGGGTAGGAGTGGGGGAATCCTGTTCCCTAGGCTGGCACCCAGTCCGCCCCCTACAGTGACAATATAAAACTAGGGAAGGTAAAGACTGAGATGCAGTTACAGGCAGGAGTGACTGTGACTGTGTCTGGCCTGTGCTATATGGGTCTATATGGCACAGCCAGCCCTGTGCACCGCTATGGGAAAGGGAGCAGACTCTACTCTCCTGGCAGGGTACAAACCTGGGACAGTAAATGGACTGGCACTCAGATATCACTGCACTCATGCCCCAACTGCAGGGGCCCTGCACTCACAGAGCTGAATTCCACCATGCCATAGCCACTGCGACTCCTCCATGGCAACAGCACCCACAAATGGGCACTGCCCAAGCCTCCTCCCAAGAGGCTAGGGGCAGGCAGGGGGAAATTGGGCCTGGCAGCAGTGAGGGGGATGGGCTGTTTTTTCCCTGGGCCTAGCAGCAGCTTCTGCCTGGCCACCACCATTGCTGCCGCTGCTCAGCATGGGCAGGCAAGTCTGAAACACGCATGGGGCAGGCCAGGGGCAGGGCTGCATGCACGGGTTCCAGCTGGTCCAGAGCTGGTCTGCTCCACTGGGGCAAGTCTGGAGCAGGCACAGAGTGGGCCAGGGACAGGACTGTGCATGCACGTCCCTGCCAGTACCAGGTGGCCAGGGCCAGAGGCAGCAGCAGCCAGAAAGGAAGTCCAGCTGTGGAGCCACCCACTCTACTGCGTGCCCAGGGGGCAGCGGGACACAACACAGGCCAGACAGCGCCTGGACTAGGCAAAACCAAGGGACCCACTGCAGGCTGGGCAAAGTCTCTCCATGGGCCAGATCAGGCTCACGGGCCATATTATGCCCACTCAGGCTACACTCTCCTCAGGGAAGCACTTTCTATCTGGCTTCTGGTATAAAAAGTGAGTACTGGAGAATCTTGTGACTGGCTATCTGCCTACTCCACGCA